TCTGGTGTGTCTGAGGTAGACCCTGCCGAGCCGGTCGAGGTAGCTGTCGACTCAGGTGCTGCTAGGGGTGCTGAGCCTGCGGGTGCGGGGCCTGGGGGTGCGGAGCCTGGGGGTGCTGAGCCTGAGCGTGTGGAGTCTGGGGGTGCTGAACCTGAGCGTGTGGAGCCTGGGGGTGCTGAGCCTGAGCGTGTGGAGCCTGGGGGTGCTGAGTCTGGGGGTGCTGAGTCTGGAGGTGCTGAGCCTGCGCGTGCTGAGTTTGGAGGTTCTCCGGGTGTCCTGTTGCGGCGGGAGCCCCTCTCTCCGCAGCGGCTTCGTGAGTGGTACGCTCGGCGCTGTTGCCGTACTCCTGGAGCTGCTGGTGCTGGAGCTACTGGAGGTGCTGCTGGTGCTGGAGCTGCTGGAGGTGCTACTGGTGCTGGAGCTGCTGGAGGTGCTGCTGGTGCTGGAGCTGCTGGAGGTGCTGTTGGTGCTGGAGCTGCTGGAGCCGCTGATCCTGGAGGTGCTCGTACTGGAGGTACTGGAGCTGCTGGGGCTGGTGGTACTGCTGGCGTTGGAGCTGCAGGTACAGGAGCTGGTGGTGCTGTGGGAGTTGTAGCTGGAGACCCTGGAGCTGAGGGTACTGGTGCTGTCTCTGCTGTTTCTGGAGGCACTGCGCGGCCGCGGCCGTACTACGTTCCACTCCTTCAGCTGGTTCTTGGTCTCCCACCTTCTCCTGGTCCTCCTCCTCCCTTACTGAGAGTCCTCCGCCTGTCCAATCACAGTCGCTGTTACAGCCGGCCTCTCCGCTGCCTGGTCCTTCTCCTTACTCTGGACCGACTGTAGGTCTTACGGAGCGTCGTGAGCCTGAGTCGCGTCCTGTGTCGCCTGTGTCTCGTTCTGTGTCGCCTGTCCGCACTGCTCGCGCTGGTCGTCGTGTTTCGCGTCCGCGTCCTCCTCCTGTCCCTGGCACTCACTCTATGACTCTGCGTCCTTCCACTGCTCCACAGCGTGTCCCTCTGCCGTCTCCTCCTACGTCCTCTCTTCCTGACGGTCCGGACCCAGAGTGTGACTCCCTTCGTGCTGCTAGTCCTTCTATCACGCGCTTTCTGGCCACTGCTGTCACTGACCCTTTGTTTGAGTCCACTGCTGCGTCTGCTCTCGTTGCTGAGCTTGTTAACTTTGCTGCCGCCTGTCGCGTAGACAACGCCACTAGTCTTGTTGCTGAGTCTGCGTCTGCGTCTGTCTGTCCTCCGTCCATCGGGGGTGAGTGTGCTCTTGGCACGGACGTTCTTGAGGACAGACAGGAGGAGTTTGAGTGCTTTGCCGCTGCTGTACCTCATCTCGTGTCCATGCTGAGGTAGACCCGGATGCACCAGACATCCCGACCCCGCGCTCTTACGCAGAGGCGATAGAGGGTCCCTACTCCTCTCAGTGGCAGGCAGCCATGGACGCCAAGATGGCTTCCTGGAAGTCCACAGGCACCTACGTCGACGAGGTTCCCCCGCCTGGGGCGAACATCGTCAGTGGCATGTGGATCTTCAGGGTGAAGCGGCCGCCGGGTTCTCTGCCTGTCTTCAAGGCGCGTTACGTTGCACGTGGTTTCAGTCAGCGACAGGGAGTTGACTTCTTCCAGACCTTCTCCCCTACCCCGAAGATGACCTCTCTTCAGGTAATGCTGCACGTCGCGGCTCACCGTGACTACGAGCTCCACTCGCTTGACTTCAGCACAGCCTTCCTACAGGGCAGCTTGCACGAGGAGATCTTGCTGCGCCGCCCACCTGGCTTCACTGGGTCGTTTCCTGCTGGTACCCAGTGGAGCCTCCGGCGGCCAGTCTACGGTCTCCGCCAGGCACCGCGTGAGTGGCACGACACACTGAGGACGACTCTTGCTACTCTTGGTTTTGCTCCTTCCACTGCTGACCCGTCACTGTTTTTACGCACTGACACCACTCTGCCGCCGTTCTACGTTCTCGTGTACGTAGACGACCTCGTCTTTGCTACTGCTGACACTGAGGCACTCGCCCACGTGAAGTCCGAGCTGCAGAAGAGACACACGTGCACTGACCTGGGTGAACTGACAAGCTATCTTGGCTTCCGGATCACCTGGGACAGAGCATAGTGCACCATTACCTTGACTCAGTCACACATGCTGCTGCAGGTCCTTCAGCGCTTCGGCTTCACGTACTCCTCGTCACAGTCCACTCCTCTGCCTACTGGTCACTCTCTCTCAGCTCCACCTTCGGACGAGTCCGTAGAGCCGAGTGGCCCGTATCCAGAGCTTGTGGGCTGCCTCATGTACCTGATGACTTGCACACGACCTGACCTCGCATACCCTCTCAGCCTTCTGGCTCGCTACGTGGCTCCCGGTCGACACCGAAAGGTGCACTGGGATGCTGCGAAGAGGGTGTTGCGCTACCTGTGCAGTACGTCGGGCATGGGGCTCGTGCTTGGAGGACGGGCTCGAGTTGTCCTCACTGGTCACGCAGACGCTTCCTGGGTTGACGACTTGGCTACGCAGCGGTCGCCACAGGGTTACACCTTCAGTCTTGGCTCCGGTTCTGTCTCTTGGCGGTCTACCCGCTCTTCTTCTGTTCTCAGCTCCAGTTGTGAGGCTGAGATCTTCGCTGGGGCCATGGCTGCAAAGGAGTTACGCTGGCTTACCTACCTGCTGACCGACTTGGGAGAGGCGCCTCGTTCCCCTCCAGTTCTGTACGTCGACAACAAGGCCATGCTTGCCTTGTGTCAGGAGCACAGACTGGAGCAAAGAACGAAGCACATTGGTCTGCGCTACTTCCTTGCTCGAGAGTTGCAGCAGCGTGGTCAGCTTCGTCTTGCTTACGTGGCCTCTCAGGCCAACACTGCTGATGTTTTCACCAAGGCACTTCAGCCTTGTGATCATCAGCGCTTCTGTACTGTTCTAGGCCTTGTGCCTACTGTGCCTCACTTGCTTACTTCTTGACTTTGCTTGTACTGTACTCTATACACATATACTTGCATGCTTACACTTGCTAGGTTGTGGTCACTGTATTGTTTGTTCTCCTATATATAACTCTGCATGTGAACTGGCCTTGTGGCCATTTGTTTGTGCTCAGACTGCGTGGTGACTTTGTGATCCACCCTGAGCTTGCTTTGCTTTTCTTGACTGCTCTTGTGACCTCCTGTTCTCCCCCACTTTGCCTATGGGGGTGTGTCAAACTTATATGCTATAGTCTATCTAGGCTGTAGTGGGGTAGTTCATATAGGGTACAACACTTTTAGGTTTCCTACTTCTACCCATCTGCTTCCTAGTTCATTCATTCCGTTCCTTATTCTAACACTTTGTTGTAGCCATGAATTGTATTATAAAAAAAATTAAAGAGTGATCTTGTCCTGCCTTGCTCTCATACCATGTTGGGCTGAGAAAAGCCCTTAGAACCTTTTTCAGGACTTAGATCGGGTGTTGACGTAGAGTTGTAATAGCGGAAGCGTTTAATGAAGAGTTGTCGTGAACCACCTTGTGCTAGTTTGTGAGAACAAGATAAGTTGATAATAGTAGAGAAGTACAAGGCTTTTATATGATTACAAAGGAATATGGAAAGTTCTACCGTATCTTAACTGTTTTTGCTGTTGCGGTTCGATACAGTGCCGACTCGGGTAACTGCTCTGTAACGAGTCAGTTATGTGTTCTTGCTGTCGCACTGTACGTTTCGTCAGGTCAAAGGTTGGAGACCTTTGACCTTCGCGCAACCTCCGACGGTTGACTCTGGTGCTTCTTCGCTGTAGTCAGTTCCGTTTCGTGTCGAAGCTTCGATACGACAGAAGCGCTATAAATCACTTGTTTCCAACAACCGCCTCTGTGTCATTTGTACTGCATTCATAACTGAGCACCAAAAATCATGCTTTAATCACTACCTAAGAAAACAAATTGGGAATTTGTCCATAAAGCTTTTACCTTTTTTTTCAAAACCCATAGTAAGCTAAGCTGCACCTGAAATGCGTATGCTTGGTGTTGCGGCAGATAGCCAACAGCCCGTGCAGCCAGCTTATGGCGGCCACAGGGCTCTCCTTCCTTCTCCCTGCCACACCCATCAGCTTATTGGGCCTTGTCGGCACCTTTTGAGGCTGCACGTTGCAACTCCCTTCCTACTTGCTCGCTACCCGTTCCCCGCAACTCCGAATGATGCGCTACCGACTAGCACCTCCTTACCACCTGTGCACCCACATTACCGCCACTTGCTCGTAGCGCCCCACCATTGCTTGCCGCCGCCGCCGCCGCCGCCGCCGTCGTCGTCATCGTCGTCGTCGTCGTCGTCGTGTGCGCATCACCGCGCGGGCCGATTATCGCTGGCGGAGCACGCGGGCATCGCCAGCCCGCTTCGTGCACCAACGTCCGTCCGCCGCGCGTCAAGGGCGGTCGCCACTCCCTCCTTCACCCGCGTGCGTTGCCCATGCTCGAGCGCCCGCACGTCACCAGCGCCGCGTCGAACCAATCCTGCACCACTCAAGCCCCTTGCCTCTCGTTCCTCCTCATGCCTCGCCGTCCCCACCTCGCGCACCCCCTGGACGGGCCCCGATGGGCCGCTCAGCCCACACTGCGCCGCGCCCTCATCGCGTTTCGCCTGACCTGCCGACGGACCCGCAGCTGACCCGTTAGGTTGACGGCCGGAAGCTGAGATGGCGTCGGCCGGCAGGAATACGTTGACGTCATCGGGGTCGGGCAAGATCGAGCAGGCGAATCTGGTGGCGGTGCGATTCGAGTTCAAAATTCATCTCGTCGAGGTCAGCCAAGTCCCCCCCGCCCCGCTCCGCCTGTCCCGTTTCCCCCATCCCGCTTCCCCCGTCCCGTTTCCTCCATCCCGCTGACGACGTCGTCCCTTGCTTTCTCCGCTCCCTGCTTCTATCTGCGTGCCTCCCCTCGTCCCCGCACGCCTGCACCCCCCACTCTGAGCGATCTCCACCCCCCTCTTCCCGCCTCTTCCCCCTTCCCCGTCCCTCTCCCCCTCCTGCCCCTCGCCCGCCAACCGCCCTCCCATGCACGCCAGCTGCGCGGGTGGCTGCGCGCCTCCCCTCCTCTCATCATCCGCTGGCAGCGCGGCGACAGCCGGGCGGGCCTCTCCGCGCCCGTGTGGCCCCCCGCTGACGCCCCCCTTGTGCCGCTCCACCACACCTTCCGGGTACGCTGTGAGTGCACCCGCCCATTGGGGGAAGGGGGAGGGGGGAGGGGGGAGGGAGCATGGGGGGAAGCAGGGGAAGGATGGGGGTTCTGGGGTGGTGCTGTGGTGGGATGGCGGGGCGTGGTTGAGGCGGTAGGAGGGGCAGCGGGAGGGACACTGGGGGGCGCGGGACAAGTGTGGGTGCTGTGTGGGGGCGAGTGGCACTCGGCAGTCACACATGCGCCCCCCACTCAGCAACAAACCCCTCTCCACCCTCGCCCACGCTGCATGCACCTTCCATCTCCCCCACCTTCCATCTCCCCCACCTTCCATCTCCCCCACCTTCCATCTCCCCCACCTTCCAATTCAAATTCAAATTCTCAGTGCATTCGCATTCTCCCTCTCTCCCTCCCCCACTCCCCTCCCCATTCTTCTCCCCCTCTCTAAACCGTCCCCTTCTCATCCCTCTCCTCACTCTTCCTTCCCCACCTTCCTCCCCCCCATTCCCGCACACCATTCCCCACCTTTCGCCCCCTTTCCCCCCCATTCTTCCCGTTCCCCACTCTTTCCCCCTCTTTCCCCCTTTTCCCCCCTCTTTCCCCTTTTTCCCCTCTTTTCCCCCTCTTTTCCCCCTCTTTCCCCCTCTTTCCCCCATTGTCCCCCCCTATCCCCCCCCCCCCTCCCGCCCCCTCCTTCCCCCTGACCCCCCCCCCTTCCCCCCCTCCTGAGTGCAGATCCCAGTGACGCTGTACAGGGAGAGGGGAGCCCCCACGGCGCCCTACCTGCGCAAGGCAGCCACCTTCACACTCCACCACGCGCTACCCGCCGCCGCCGCCCACCCAAGCCACCCACCCGATGCACCATCCGAGCCTGCCTTCCAGGCTGGGCCCGAGCCTCTGGGGCGGGCGCAGCTGGACCTGGCTGAGCTGGCGGACTGTGACGGGGTGGTGGAGCGCCGCCTCAAAGTGGCGCCCGGGCCCGCCATGCTGGCTGACGTGGCGGCTGCTGAGAGGCCGGCGGGGGCGGTGCTGGTGGTGAGCGTGGAGTGCGTTGGGAAGAAGCTCAGCCGCGAGGCCGCCGCTGAGGAGGCCCACATGTACGCCAAGGGGGGGAGGGGTGCAGGGCATGGGCGCAGGGCATGGGCGCAGGGCATGGGCGCAGGGCATGGGTGCATATCAAGAGGAGGGAGTGGTTTAATGAGGGTGATGGGTGTTGAAGCGAGAGGGTGGGCGTGGGATGGGGGGTGGATGATAGCATTGGAGAAGCAGTTGGGTTGGGTGAGGGGGAGTGGATGCGATGGGTGGAGGGTTGGGAGAATATAGAGTGGTGAGGTGAGGGAAGAGGAGGGCAGGGGTGAGAGCGGGGGCGAGGCAGTGTTGGTCAGGTCCGGGGAGAGGGGTGAATGCAGAGTGCTGGGAGGCAGAGAGTGTGCGCACGGCAGGTGTGGCTCGTGTGCTGCCAGAGCTGCAGTTTGGTGCAGCTCCATTGTGAGTCAGCGCCATGTGTGGGGTGAGAGGCATGTGTGGGGTGAGAGGCATGAGTGGGGTGAGAGGCATGTGTGGGGTGAGAGGCATGTGTGGGGTGAGAGGCATGTGTGGGGTGAGAGGCATGTGTGGGGTGAGAGGCATGTGTGGGGTGAGAGGCATGTGTGGGGTGAGAGGCATGTGTGGGGTGAGAGGCATGTGTGGGGTGAGAGGCATGTGTGGGGTGAGAGGCATGTGTGGGGTGAGAGGCATGTGTGGGTGAGAGGCATGTGTGGGGTGAGAGGCATGTGTGGGGTGAGAGGCATGTGTGGGGTGAGAGGCATGTGTGGGGTGAGAGGCATGTGTGGGGTGAGAGGCATGTGTGGGGTGAGAGGCATGTGTGGGTCAGCATTGGGTGCAAAGGCTGCCAGCATGGGCAAGCCAGCATCCATGCCTCTCCGCCCCATGGCCCCCGTCCACCTGCCACTCACTCCCCCTTCGCTGCTCTTGTGCCCCCCATCCGTCCATGCTGCCCCACCCCCCTCCCCCTCTCTCCCCCCCCCCCAGCCTGGCGGCCCCCAGGGGTCATCGCCGCAACACCTCCTCACCTCTGCTGCCCTCCACCGCTCTGCACCGCCCCCTCCCCCCCTCGCATCTCGCCTCGTCCCCTCTGGCGTCAGGGTGCGCCTCGCCCGCCGTGGCAGCAGGAGGCAGCGCGGGGTCGTTCCTGGGCGAGGCCGACTTCCCTGCCCTGCCTGCGCTGCCCCCTGCGGCAGGGGGCGCGCACGCAGAGGGCCACACTCATGGCCCTCCCCACGGGCCATGGCAGCACGAGCAGGCTGTAGCAGAAAGAGACGCGGGAGGGGGGGATGTGGGGAGGGTAGAGGCATTAGCAGATGAGGGAGAAGGTGTGCAGAGCAGTGGTGAGGTGAGCGGGCGAAAGCAGCAGAGGAAGAGCCGCAGAGGAGGCAGAGCAGGCTCATACGATGGGGTGAGGGGCGTGAGGGAGCCGGGGGGAGAAGTGGGTGAGGAGATGCGGATAAGAGACGCTGGAGAGAGTGACGTGGCAGTGGGCGATTCTGGACCTCTCTCTGCCACGTCAACCCCCCCTGCAACATTAGCAGTGTCTGCCAAGTCAGCATCGTCTTCATCCACCTCATCACGACCTCCCTCCCATCCTCCATCAGCCTCTGCTTCCCCTGTGCCCTCGCGCTCCTCCTCTCTCTCGTCAGCGACCTCTGCATCCACGTCAGCATCTGCCTCATCAGCATCCACGTCAGCATACATGACATCATCATCATCACATTCGCCGCTATCGTCACCAGCACCATCCGCGCCCCCCCCCTCGTCCTCCTCCTCCTCCACCTCCATGTCTGCCACACGCGCCTTCCGCCTGGCTGCTGCAACCCATGCCCCCTCCCCTCATGTACTGCCCTCCCCTCGGCGCCACACTCCATTTTTTCCCCTCCCCTCGGAACACCCCTCCCTGCTTCCCCTCCCTTCCTTACACCTCCACTTCCTCTCCCCTCCTCGTCATCTCTGCTCTGTGTGCGCCTCCTTCCTTGCACACGCCCACACTATCCTCTCCTCTCTGCCCCTCCACACTCCCCTCCTCCCCGCATTCTCTCCTCTCCTCTCCTCTCGTCTTCCCCCTTCTCCCACCCCTCCAGCCAGCCCCGGGAGCCAAGCAGCGCAGGAAGGCGTCTCACCGCTCGCAGTCGTACGGCGGCACTGAGCTCGCCGTCTTCCATGCCGCCCCCACTGCCCCGCCACCACCACCACCACCACCAGCACCACCACCACCACCACCAGCACCACCACCACCAGCACCACCACCACCACCAGCACCACCACCACCACCACCACCACCACCACCACCAGCACCACCACCACCAGCACCACCACCACCACCACCAGCACCACCACCACCACCACCACCAGCACCAGCAGCACACGCTGCAGCACAAACGTCACCAGCAGCACACGCTGCAGCACAAATGTCACCAGCACCACACGCTGCCCGGGAAGATCCCGCTGATGCTCCCGCTGACGCCACTGACGCCGCTGACGCCGCTGACGCCACTGACGCTGCTGACGCCACTGACGCCACTGACGCCACTGATGCAGTCAGCGTTGAATCAGCCGAGGCCAGCAACACCCAGCGTGCCTCAACGGTGGCAGCTCTGGTCAGTGGCCATCGCACTTGCACTCTTCACTCCCTCCTTCATCTCCCGGCTATGCTACTAACTCGCCATGTCCCCATTCCTTGCCCACCTTCCCTTGTGCCCCCCCCCTCTTCCCATCTAATGTTTTTACTATCTCTTCGCCTCTGCAATCCAGCTTGCTAATCCGTTTGCACTCTCTTCTGCCGTTTCACCCTTCTCTCTTGTACACCATCCTTTCCCATCCACCCTCCTCTCCCATCCACCTCTTCTTCCTTTCAATCCCTCTCTCCCCCTCAGAGGGCGCATCGCAAGGCAGCGGGCAGGCGGCACTCGTACGGCGGGCAGGAGCTCACCGCCATGCACGCCGCACTCACACACCCGCTCGCCACCGCCCATGCCAGTGACGCTGGCAGCAGCAGTGACAGCAGCACTGCCGGCAGCGGCACTGGCAGCAGGGGCAGCAGGGCGAGCAGGCGGCGGGGGGGTACGGGCAGCATGGACGTCCCTGGCCGCCCCGCCACGGCGCTCACCCGCTTCAGCCGCCATGCCAAACCCCCCCTCGCCACGCCCCCCTCCTCCCTCCCCCCCACTGCCGCTGCCACTCCCCTTGCCACGACCCCCCTTGCATCACCGTCCGCCACCAGTGCGTTCTCAGCCCGCAGCCTCCCAGCTCAGGCTGAAGCGCCACCATCCCACGCCACCCCTGCTGCTGTTGCTGCTGCTGCAGTGGGGGTGGCTGCTGGTGAGTTTGGGAAGACTGTGCGTGGGAGTGGCAAGGGGAGGGCGGGTGGGAGTGGCAAGGAAAGAGCGGGTGGGAGTGGCAAGGAGAGGGCGCGAGGCATGAGGCAGATTGAGGCAGAGCTACAGCAGAGGAGAGAGGCGGCCGCAGCCAAGGCAGCAGCAGGCACAGCAGCGACAGCAGAAGCAGACAGCGGGGCTAACGGGGCAGTGGAGGATGATGGGTGGGAGCAGCAGGTGGGGCAGGTGGCAGTGGTGCACAGGCAGGTGAGGGCCACATCGCTGGCAGAGCTGTACCGAGCGGCGGGGAGAGGGGGCGACCTGGACGGCGCAAGGAACGTGGCACCGGCTCATGCCCTCCCACATGTGCTCGCTGCCACACCCGGCCCGCTGTGCCAGTCCATGCCCTTGGAGCCGCACCTGGGCTTGCAGCCGCACCTTCCCACGCCCCTGCCTGTGTCGCCTGTCCCTGCTGCCCCTGCTGCCCCTGCTGCCCCTGCTACTTCTCAGTGCATGGCAGGCACAGGCACAGGGCCATCCCCAGGCATCTCGCCCCCTTCCACCCTCTTTTCCACCACCTCTCCCCTCGCCGTCGCTCTGCCTCCCTGCAGTGCCACCGCCCCTTTCCCCCCCGCCTCTGCTCCTTCCCCTCCTGCCTCTGCCTCTGCGGATTCCCCCCTTTGCCACCCCCCTCACACTGCGTCGTCCCCTCCTGCCGCGCGCCCACCCTCCCATCGCGACCTGCTGGTGAGTGGCACATGGTTGGGAGAGGGAGAAGGAGGGACGGAGAGGGGAGCGGAGTGAAATTGTTGTGGAAGAGTTGGGAAGGGTGGGGGGAAAGCATGACAACAGGGGGAAGGGTTGAGGGAAATGAGGGAGAAGAGTGGGGGAGGGAGAGGTGGAGGCATGGAGAGTTGGCTAAGGGAATGAGTGGTGTGGTGCTGGCATGCAGGACGGGTGGCATCTCCCAACACCACACCACGCTCCATACCCGTCTTCCACCCATCATCGGCCCCCTTGCATCCTGCTTCCCCCTCTCCCCCTCTCCCCCGCCATCGTCTCACCCTACCACTTCCCCCCCCCTCTCCCCTCCCTCTCCCTGCCCCTCCCCTCCCTCTCCCTGCCCCTTCCCCCCCCCTCTTCAGAGGGCGCGCAAGGCAGCACACAGCCGCCGCCCGCACTCGCTGGCGGGGGGGGAGTTTGCCACACTCAGGCTCGCCCACAACCCCACAGGAGGCTCTCCAGAATCCACCACCGCTCTGCACCGCTCTCCCCTCTCCTCGTCCTCCCGCCTGATACATCCCGTTGCTGCTGTCGCCCTGGCCACTCTCCCCCGCCCCTCTACCTCCTCTCCTGCCCCTCCTGCTGACCCTTCTGCTGGTGCAGCGGATGAGAGTGGGAGGAAGCGGCAGAGCAACAAGGGCATGAGGCAGGCAGCTGGGGGAGGGGCGGTGGCAGCAGCGGTGCAGCAGTCAGCGGGAGCGGTGGTGGCAGCACAACCTGCCATGGTGGATATTCCACGCGCTGCCACCACGGGCAGCATTCATACCACACCTGCCACCGCTGCTGCTGCTGCTTTAAGGACATGTGGGTCTGACGATGTGCCCTGCCCGCCCGCTCACGCAGAGCACATGGCACAGGGAGGGGAGGGGGGCATGCAGGGGAGGGAGCACGTGGCAGCAGTGCCACCATCAGCAGGCGCAGCCCCCGCTCTTGCTGCCGGCACTCACATGTCCCACCCCACTGCACTTGCCCATGACCCAGCTGTCCCCTCCACCGTCCCTCGCCCTCTGCTGCACCTTGCTCCCACTGCCCTCGCCTCCGCTTCCCCTGCCATGTCAGCTGGCTCTCCTGTGACGTCAGCAGGGTCGCCTGCCATGTCAGCAGGATCCCCTGCCTCCCTGTCCAATGAGCACGCGCCACGTGGTGCACAGCAGGCAGCAGCGGTGGCGGAGCTGAGGAGCAAGCTGAGGGTGCTGCTGGCACCGCCACTTTCTGTAGCAGAGCAGGCAGGCATGGGGGCGTGGGGGGTGGGGGAGTGTCACGATGTGGCCAGGAAGGGAGGTGCAGGCAGTGAGGAGGGCCAAGTGCCATCAGCTGTGGTGAATGCACCACCTGCAACAGCTGGTCACTCAGGCTCTCTCCCACCTCACTCCTCTGCCGCACATCCCACCTCTGCCCTCACTGCCACACACCGGCACCCCCCCTCGCCTCCTCTCCTGCACCGCTCGCTCTCAGACCCACACACACCGCGCCCCCCCACAGCGCCCTTCCCCCTCGTCTCTCCGCCCTCCCCCGGCACCCTCTCAGCGCCGCACTCGCCCGCCCCCCCGCCCTCTGCGCGCGCCCTGGGCTTTGCGTGTGCGCGCCGCCCCTTCATGCTGCCGCCCGACTGGCACGCGCCCTCCGGTGCTGCTGAGAGTGGTGGGAGGCCGCGCACTGCAGAGGGGGAGAGAGGAGGGAGGGGCATGCGGGCGTTCACGTCCGTGGGGCACCGGGGGTTGCTGCCAGGCAGCATGCATGCAGGGGAGGCGTCAGCAGCAGCAGGGGGCGCGGGCAGCCACTCCGCCCTGACCGCGCGTGAGGTGCTGGCAGCGCTGCGGCGCGTGCCGGGGCCGTACAGCTCGGGGCGGTTTGACGAGGTGGAGGGCGTCGATGACGCACTGCTGGGCGCCGCCGCCACGCCAAGGGTAGTGGCGGGAGGGGCGCGTGGTGGCGGTGGTGGGCGGCGGAGGAGGAGGTTCAGCGTGCTGGCTGTGGCGCGGGAGGTGGTGGAGAGGGAAGGGGGGGGGGGAGAGGGGGGCAGTGGCGAGTATGCGAGTGGAGGGGACGGGGAGAGAGAAAAAGGTGGTGGTGCGGAGGAGGCCGGAGGAGAAGATCGGGAAGGTAGGGAGGACTCAGAGAGCGATGGCGATGGGGAGGGCGAGGAGGCGGCACAAATGCGAATGGAGTGGAGGCGGGTGAGGAAGGAGCGGCAGCTGGTGGAGCAGGAGAGGGGCGAGGTGCAACGCGTGCAGGGTGAGGTGGCACGCTTCAAGCAGTGGGCGCAGGAGGAGCAGCAGCGGCTGCAGGAGGAGAAGCGAAAGGTGAGGATGGCAGTGAGTCAGAGCTGCTTAATAAAGATGGTGAGAGCTGCTTGCGGCTGTCAGCGACGAGAAGAGTCATAGTTGTGTGAGAAAAGATAGACGAGAAGAGTCATAGTTGTGTGAGAAAAGATAGACGAGAAGAGTCATAGTTGTGTGAGAAAAGATAGACGAGAAGAGTCATAGTTGTGTGAGAAAAGATAGACGAGCTTCAGAGAGCAAGCCCCCAGATTTACTTTGCGTTTACAACTGCAGTTTCCCCTGGTCTGGAATTGAGTCCCAACCTTTGTTAAGATACAACTGATTGGTGGAGGCCAACAGTATGAGTGAAGCCCCCCACGTGCGCCCACCACAGGTGGAGGCGGACAAGCAGCGCCTGGCGCCCTTTGAGGCGCGCCACCGCGCCTGCCAGCACCACATTGCAGCGCAGGACGCCGCCACGGCCGCCCTGCGAGCACAGGCCAGCGCCGCCGCCACGGCCACAGGGCACGTGGCAGCGCACACGCACTCGCTGCGCTGCCACCTCGCCTCCTCCGCCCACCTCCTCGCCGCCACCAAGCAGCGCCTCGCTCACGACCGCGCCTCCGTGGCTGGCGCTCTGGCTCGGGCTGCCGAGGCTGAGGTGCGGGCGCAGGCCGCGGAGAGGAGGTTCGGGAAGATGCCGTGGGAGGTGCGGAGTGGGAGTGGCGTGGCGCGGGCAGTGCATGGTGTGGCGGGCCGGCATGGGTCGCCCGTGCAGCGCCTGCACACCCCCGCCATGCGCCTGGCACGCGTGGTGGCCGTGGCATGGCGGGGCGGTACGGGTGAGGGGGCGGAGGAGGGAGCGGGGGTGGAGAAGGAGGATTTGTGGGGCGAAGTGGGGGAAATGGCCGAGGGGCGAGAGGAGGGCGGGCACAGGGGAGGGGAGGAGGGAAAGGGGAATGCATGGCAAGGGTGGAGTGCAAGCACGGAAGGGATGGTGGTGGAAGAGGGACAGCGAAGGGAGCAGCGAGGAGTGGTGGGCAAGGCGCGTGGGTTGAAAGGGGAGCAGGTGGCAGGCGTGGCGAGGGAGGTGATGCGCGCTCTGCTCCTGGCAGCCCGGGCGGCGAGCGACAACGCATCTCGGCTGCTCTTCTGGTGGTCCAACACGGCCATGCTGCGCTCCGCCCTGGCACCCCTGGTGGCGGAGGAGCAGAGGAGGAAAGGGGAGGGGAAGAAGGGTGAGGCGGCCACAGGTGAAGGAGGGGCGGCTGGTGGTGGTGTTGGGAGTGGTGCTGCTGCTGCGAATGGTGGTGGTGCATGCTGGCCTGGCACAGGTCATGACGACCGGGGAGAGCACCCGGAGCACCCAGAGCGGCCTGAGGACCCGTGGGGCAGCTTGGCGCACCTTGAGTCGCAGCTGCTGCAGCTGGAGCAATGGCAGCACAACAGGTGTCTGCAGCTGGTGTGGACACGTGTCTTCCTGCCAGCCATGCAGCAGCGCCCCCCTGTGCTGCCGCCTCCCTTCCACCCGCCATCACACACCCCTCCCTTCACCCCCGCCTGGTCCTCCGCCCTGCTGTGCGCCACCTCTGCCTGCCAGCAGTCGTACCTCTGGCCCTTCTCCGCCCCCACGCCCCCGCCACCCCCACTCAGAGGTGACTCATATTCTCCCTTCAATCTGAGAGTCCTCTCTTTTTGCCCCTCTCATTATTTCCTTCTAAACGTCTCACTGCTGCTGGCTAGTTGGTGCCCTTGTCTCTGCTGATCATCCCAGACGTACCTCCGAATCTCTTTGGGCCAGGGCTACTGTAGGCAGCTATTTGCTTGGAGTCCATTCCATTGATTCCACGCGCAAATCTAACTGCGCTTCTCAAGTCTCCATGCATGCCTCGCTCTGTGCACGTCTCTTTCACATCAACTCATGTTTGTTACTTTGTTAGCTCCTTTGCTTCGCTCTAGACTCATTTCGCCCGCTCACCCCCATCCTGATAGCGCTCACCCCAATCAGCCCCTAGCACTGCACGTCACCCAATAGCCCGTGAGGCCCGCTTCTTCTCCCCCCTCTCCCTTTCCCCCTCTTCCCCTCTCCCTGTGTCCCCATCTTCCCCTTTCTCCATCTCCCCATATGTGCAGCGGAGGAAGTGCAGGCGCCCTGGTGGGCGGGGCTGAGTGGTACAGAGCGGTGGGTGGCGGTGATGCACGAGGCGGCTGCCATGCTGTGCCCTCACAGGGCCATGGGGCACCACTGCGGCTGCCTCTACCCGCTTTTCAAGCAGGTCAGTGCTGCCTCTACCCGCTACTAAAGCAAGCACCTCCATACCCCCTTCTTTTGGTGTTATGGCAATTTTGAGTGCACCACCACCACGACTTGCCTTCCACCTCACAGCGCTTGTTTTGTCCTTGCCCTCTACTCGTCTACCCCTTTTCATTTTCTTACCCTCACCCCAATTCGCCCTTGCCGCATTTCCACTCCTTTCCATACCCCGTCACCCATCATCCTGTTTCATCCATCCCCTCAATTCCTCTCTGACGCCATGCCACTCTGCTTTGGCACGTCTGCTTTCAAAGCCTACCGCCTTGGTCCCCCTCTTCCCATCCCTTTCCCTGCTCCACCTCATGCAACCCCCCGTTTCATCCACTCCCCCTTCCCCTCCCCCTCTTCCTCCCCCTCCCCCACTCCTCCCCCCACCACCGCCCCTCAGGTGCTGCAGCAGTGCCAGCAGCGGCTAGACGCGGCTCTGTTCAACGCGTTGCTGCGCTCCGGTAACGACGTGCTCTCCACCGACCCTGCTGCCGATCCTCTCACCGAACCTGCCGCCCTGCCGTTCCCCGCCAATGGCCGCTTCTGGGCCGGCCAAGGGGGGCTACTGAAACACACTGTAAGGGGGATTGCTGAAACACGTTGTAAGGGGGATTGCTGAAATAATCTATAAGGGGGATGACTGAAACACAAGGGGATTGCGATTGCCTGCACACATGCCAGCCTCGCATGACCTCTGCCATCCAGACCCATCCCTCACTGCCATCCAGACCCATCCCTCACTGCCATCCAGACCCATCCCTCACTGCCATCCAGACCCATCCCTCACTGCCATCCAGACCCATCGCTCACTGCCATCCAGACCCATCCCTCACTGCCATCCAGACCCATCCCTCACTGCCATCCAGACCCATCCCTCACTGCCATCCAGACCCATCCCTCACTGCCATCCAGACCCATCCCTCACTGCCATCCAGACCCATCCCTCACTGCCATCCAGACCCATCCCTCACTGCCATCCAGACCCATCCCTGGCTGCCATCCAGACCCATCCCTGGCTGCCATCCAGACCCATCCCTGGCTGCCATCCAGACCCATCCCTGGCTGCCACTGCCCCAGTATCCTCATGTACCCTCAATGTGTTCGCGCCTTTCCGCCATGCCTCTGTGCCCTCTGTTACCCCCCCACCACCACCACGGCACCCCACGGCACGGCTCCAGGTGTCGGAGTGGAGTGAGTTCCTTGCAGACATGGACGCACACGTCTCCTCACACTGCCACGCCGCCGCCGCCGCTGCTGCTGCCACGCAGCATGCCGCCACCGCTGCGCACGCTTACCCCCCATCGCCCATCCTTCCCCCGCCCACCGTCCCGCTCTCCTTGCTCTCCTCCGCTCGCTTCTGGGCGGGCCAGCTGGAGCTCTTTGATTGGCCAGAGGGCGCAGAGGGGCAGGGCGGGGCAGAAAAGCCGGGATGCGGAAATGGACTGGTGGGGCAGGGAGAGGGGTGGAGAGCGGTGACAGGCGGTGACGCCATGGGAGATGCAGTGGCGCGCAGCATTGCTGGGTGTGAAGGGGGCACGGGTCAGAGAGGGTATGACCCCGCGGCGCTGCTGCTGCTGGGAGGGCGCGAGGGGGAGGGGGAGGAGGGGAGAGGTTTGGTGCAGCAGCTGATCGGTGGGCGGGCGGAGTGCTTCCCGCTGCTGCGCGCGCTGGCCCACGTGCTGCTGCTGCCCAAGAAGGCTCTCTGCGACCGCCCTGTGCGCCGCCAGGTGCGGGGGCAGGGGGGACGACATTGGTGGGGAGAGCAGTGTGAGCGAAGAGAGGGACGTGACGTGAGGGGCGCGAGGGATGAGAGGAATGGGGGGTGGAGAGGGGTGAGCAGTGAGAGTGGATGACAGTGTTACTGCATCGCTCTCGTGCACGCTGTGCCTCGTGCCTGTACAGCCACGGCATGTGCACGTCAGTTTGTCACCTGTTTTGCTCAACCCATGGCATGTGCACGTCAGTTTGTCACCTGTTTTGCTCAACCCATGGCATGTGCACGTCAGTTTGTCACCTGTTTTGCTCAACCCATGGCATGTGCACGTCAGTTTGTCACCTGTTTTGCTCAACCCATGGCATGTGCACGTCAGTTTGTCACCTGTTTTGCTCAACCCATGGCATGTGCACGTCAGTTTGTCACCTGTTTTGCTCAACCCATGGCATGTGCACGTCAGTTTGTCACCTGTTTTGCTCAACCCATGGCATGTGCACGTCAGTTTGTCACCTGTTTTGCTCAACCCATGGCATGTGCACGTCAGTTTGTCACCTGTTTTGCTCAACCCATGGCATGTGCGCCACCATGCCCCCCCATGCAGGTGTACGCCACCATCCCAGCGCCGCTGCTGCAGCGTGTGGTGAGCATGTGTGTGGAGCAGCCGTCCCACCCCGACCCCATCCCACCCGTGCTGCTCGACATGCTGCATGCCGAGGTGAGTGCCGCCCCCACATGCTCAGGCTGCCCCACATGCTGCTATACATGATCAGGCATCACATGCATTGTCTGTTCTCTCACCTGCTAGCCCATCCATCTCCATCCCCCCATTCCGCCCCTCCCACCTCCCGTTGCTCCTGCTGCCCCTCCTCGCCTCCACCCTCCCCAGGCCAACACCTCTGCCCACGCCATCCACTTCCTGCCAGTCTTCGACCCTACCCCCCTGCCCCCCACGCCCTACCGCCCGCCGCCCACCTCCGCCCTGCACGCGCTGCTGGGGGCGGCTGCACCAGGCGCGGTGGGCGTGCAGCAGGGGGGGCTGGAGGGCGGGAAGGGGGCACGGCACGGCGATTTGCCGATGGAGTGAATGCGCGGCGAGGCTGCCAGAGCAGCAGCGACGAGGTTGCGGGTGCTTGAATGAATGTGTGCAGGCGAGGGGAGTGTGCCAGTGCGGCCAAGCGGTTTTCCCTGACAGCTGGGCCAAGTGACTAGGAGCTGTGACTGCTGCACCCCACTGCTGCACCCCACTGCTGCACTTGCCCAAAAGCTGAAAGTACTGCCACAGCCACTGCATGTCCCTCAGATTGGATTCAGGCCACTCTGATTGATCAGTGCTCTCCCAAAAAAAATTGCATCCCAGTCAGAGCTGGGTGAAAAAGTATACCATAATCCTTAGTACCGGTATATACAGACCGCCGAATAAATGCACCTATGGGGGGCTTATGTGGGTAAAAGGCTTTATTGTGGTATTTTGAATGATTACTATATTTATTTCATTATTTCTACTAAACTTCTCTACATCAGTTGTGCTGTAAGGTTGTGTTAGGCCCCTTGGCCTAAATCCGCTAAAGAATAGCGGGGTTGACTAAGTCGAGGATGAAACGCGCAGAAGACTTTAGCGAAAGAACTATTAGCGAAATAGGCGAAGAAGTTACTGAGTGATGGATTAATGAGAATTGGTTGATAATGACAAGTACAAACAAGGTTGATATAGCATGCAAGAGCGAATGTCGGAAAGTAGTTCGTGGGACTAGAAAGTAGAAGGCAACAAAGCTAGAGTGCCACGTGGCACTAGGAAATCAAAGAAATCCCAAAGGGATTGGATGGAGATAAGGTTGGGATTAGGTTGGGGGACTGTTTCGGGTGAACTACCCAAAGGGATTGAGCAGTAAACCGTAACACTACCCCCCTCCCAAGGAGGCGACGTCCACGGTGCCTGCAGACTAAAGGTACGCTTTCAGGCAAGCGTTGTCAGAAGACAGCGAGGACGAAGGAACCCAGCTGTCGTCGGCTGCATCGTAACCACGCCAACGAACCAAGAAGTCAGTGAAAGAGACACCCCCCTGGAGACGGCGACGGTGCCTAAGGATGCGCTGGATCTGGTAGTCGGGCTCGTCGGTGTCAACAGCTACCGGCAGTGGAGTGCGATCACGGCCCGAGAAGGTGGCATTGGGATCGGTGTATGGACGAAGGAGAGACACGTGGAATGACGAGTGCACGCGGAAATGAGCGGGAAGGCGGAGGCGGTATGCGACTGGACCAATGTGCGCGCTCAATGTCAAATGGACCAATGAAACGAGGGCGAAGCTTGCTGTCCTGTGGCAGTCGGAGGATGCGGCTATCCAAAAGGACACGGTCGCCGACTGCAAACGACACCTCACGACGACTGCGGTTGGTGGTGTGTGCCATGCGTGCATTTGCGAGCTCAAGGTGCTTCCTCACATGGTCGTGAATGAAGGTGAGATGGTGGAAATTGTCCGCACGAGGGACAGTGGGTGTGAGATCGACACGAGTGGGGACATTGGGGTGATAACCATACAGTGCGAAGAACAATGACATGCCTGTGGCGGAGTGGTGCGTGTTGTTGTAGGCGAACTCTTCCATGCTCAGCTTCTTGTCCCATGCGGGTGCGTCGTGCATCGTGATGCTGCGAAATTTTTTCTCCAAGGTCTGGTTCACGTGCTCAGTCTGTCCGTCTTGTCAACGGGAGTTGTGGTAGGCCCCGTCCTCGCTTGGGCGGAGCCGACCTCGTGATCGGGTGTGAAGGGTGCAGCCGACCTGCAGCAGTGGGCGAGCTGGTCGACGAGGATGGTCGACCTGCACGGGGGCCACTGCAAGGGCGCCAAACTTCTGGGCGCCAAGTTGTGGTGGTCGACGAAGGGGGGCGCCGACGTCGACCTGGACAGGGGAGCTGGGCGCCGAGTAACAGGGCACTGAGGAAGATGGCGCCGGGCAAGTGGGTCGACATGGGAGGACGCCGGGCGTCGACCAGCTGGAGCCGACATAGGGAACGCCAGTCATGGGTGGTTGGCGACGGGCTGAGCTGGTCGACCAGGCGGGGTTGCTCGGTCGACTGGGATACCCGGGTGACAGTGTGCGAAGGTTGCCGGGGTTGTTTCAGCGAGGCCGACCTCGGGGGTGGTATCCCGAGGTCGACGTGGCTGGTGGGCGCAGACGCTGGCGTAGACTCTGCCGGGCGTCTGCGCTGTGCCCGTGACGAGGAGCGGCGCACCAACCAGCTGCACGCATTTGGGAAGTAGGTGCACCGTTTTCCTGCGGTTGCAACGTTGTGCAGCAGCTTGCTGCAGCGTTGGCATCACCGTGGACTTGGCAACGTTGGGAAAGCTGCGACTTTGCTCTGCTGGAGCGCGGTTGACCAAGTCGTGCTAGCATGCGGTCGACCGTGCTGTGCTGGAAGTCGACCAGCAGCTTTGCTAGGTCTGATGTAGTCTTGCATGCCAATGTTGTTGCTATCATTGTTGTCATGTTTTCCTCATAAAACTCTTGGCAATTCTCCCCGTGAACTAGCAAGTAGTGTGAGCACTTGGAAATGACTAAGGAAAGAACGAACACAGAGATCACATGAGCACCCGTGCCTAGCCCGTAGCATAGCTCCCGTTGATTGAGTTATCTCCGCATGGTGCAGTGAGCGTGGAAGGCACACGACTTTCCTTTTCAGTCAAGTCAACGTAATTGTCACTTACCTAACTCGCGTTTGTAGGCCGGGC